TTTTTTTTGCCCCATCAAGCTTTGATTTGTTTTAAACCTATCTCGAGAGAGTTTTTTTTTTGATTAAGGACAGAAATCTCAAACTAGGACATTCCAAAACTCCTCACCACCCACGTTCAGTCCTTCTGACGTCTTGAATTAGTTACATACCATGCCAAGTGAAGCAGTGGACGTTGTGCCCGAAGCGGCGTAACAGCTACATGTAAAAAGTTGTTTGTTCAAATGAATTGAATTTTGATTGTAAGATTAACTCGTCAGATGGGCTCCCTGATGCAATGCTTTCTCTTTGTCCGGAAATATTTGAGTTACAAATGGCAGTGCACAATGTATTGTCGGCAATCCTAGTTGACAGAGAATCAGTTCAGACATAATTTTGAATCAGAGAGATGTAGAATGGGCGTTGTTAGGAAAGGCGGCTGAAGCATTTTTAACTAACGATAAAACGTTTTTTGCCGCATCAGCGACAAAATAAGGAAAATATTTCATTGAATCGACAAACCTTCCTCTCTCTTTAACAATTCAATTATGCTACATAAGGAACACTCGGTGGGAAAGTATTGTCAGATATGAATTTGTGGCTAATTGAATGCAATAAAATTTGATTGTTGCGCTTCAAGAATATTCACTGAACACAGGCACTCTTTTTAGTCATTATTAACGACGATTTTTTACATAGAAAACACATCTCTCAGTAGTTCATAATTTCAAATACATGAATAATATAATTCCTTTTATTTTGGATTCACATCTGCCTCACTGAAATCACTTTTTATTCATTCGCAACTTGGAATCAGTGAACCATTTTGCAGTTTTTACGCATGAACCTGCTACTTCATGTGTTGTTTGAGTGAGTATTTCCTCTNGGGAAAACAGAATTTACTATAGATGATTGATTATCGAGAAAAGTAGAAGTAACCCGCATTAAGTTCTCTTCTCATCGATCGCCTTTTCTTAGCATAACCAGGTGAAGTCTTTGATTCCAGAAGACTAATCATTGCCGTGAAACTTCTCAATTTATGACTGTATTTCACCCCAATTTTCTTACGAGTTTATGAAACTACTAACTGCTATTGGAGTGCTCACGTATTATACATCTCGCTTGGGACTGTTTAACAGCGCAATATAAAATAGAACTTAAACAAAATTAATTCACATTTACTTTCAGTTTCATTGCCAAACTGAAGAGAATGAAGAATTTGCTCTCAATATTTTGAGATCACAAAATTTAATGAACTTTCTCACCTCACTTTTATCATTTGTTCCATGGTCAGTTCTACCTTTTTCGCATGTTTCATCACGCGATTCCTCTTGTTGCTGTTGCTGTTGAGTGGTTGGTGGTTTCTTTGCGCTGAGATCCGGCTTAGTCATGATGCTTCTCTGCGATCAGCTGAACAAGTCTGTGAATAATAGCTTGAACTTAGCAAACCTTTATCATTTGAAGACAAAACTCGCAAGCGTCCAATTGCTGACACAACCACCCGACAGCGTTAGGATATACGCGAATGTGTTAGCTGGTTGGCTTGTTGGGTGAAGTATCTTTCATCTTTCATCTGCCTCGTGCTACTTGCCGCAGCATGATTCCTTCCTTCCATTCGAAGAGCCCAGCAACGCCCCTCCTCGTTCACGTCACAGCATTTTCACTGCACCATTCCTTATGAACACTGGATCGATGTGATGAAGGAAGGACATATTGAAATGAGAAATAATGTGCGTTTTCGTGTTGTCGTTCCTGATGCACCTCAAGCATGTATATCTTCAAAATGTTCTTTTCAATATCGAATTTCTTCATGCAAAGGAAAGCTTCGTAAACACTCCTTCAGTCATTGACATTGAATGAGATGAAGTTTTAAGCCGTCTCGAAAAATGATTTGAATAAAGCATCACCTTGGAAATACGTCTGAAAAACGTTGCATAGCACTCAGTTCATAAGATGTACTGAATCCTCGCAATCTTCCTGAATAGTTTCTTCGTAAACAACCGAAAGTTTCTTGATCCCTTTGAAATCGATCGTTTTTCTGATTTTTTCGAGTACAACTTTGTTAATTGAGAAAATGCATTTAGCATTAATGTACTTAGCTCTATGACAACTGAAAAGTAAATACTTACAACTTCTTTATCGAGATTCTGCACGCCAACAACATTATCGGCACAGAAAAGCAGCTAACTTAATAATTTTCCAACTCGACAGCTAGTGGCGATCACAGCACGCTTCTTTATTTCACTGAAATTTTAAAGGACTAGCCCAGGTCCAGTCAATGCCTCATAAACAACAGATTGTGCCATTCTAACCACCCTTCCCCTTCTCGCTCTACTCGAAAAAACACATCTCATGATATTTTCATATTCCGTTGACAATGCTGTACAAACCCGAACGAAACTTATTAATTTTTCATTCCTCAAATGTACAGTTTTTCTCATCTGCGGCAAAAAAAATTCTCTTCAGCAGAACTGGCATTCAAAAAATGAAGATTTGAAGTGAAAGTAAGGATGAAATTCGTTTCTCTTTTCGTGACAAACACCGTTTTCGCATTGATGCATTATGCTGACGCTACAAAAGCAGTCTTCTCCTTATCGGTTCACTGAATCTAACAAAGAATTTTTGAGCACGTTCACAATGAACAATCCAATAGCAGTTGTCCTATTATACACGGAACATTGCACCTATAAGTAAAACACATTTTGCTTTGCATGCGAAGATGTATATTACTTCAATCAACCTGTATGTGTGTTATGAGTGTCAGTTATGTCGAGTCGAATCAGTAAAACTATGAAACTCGTCACCTGAAGTTTACAGTATCGAAGTGAAGTGATCGTATTTAGCGTAATTGATGAATTCCATTTATTGTACAGTTGATGATGATGATGATGATG